ACCACCTTTCCTGCACAATAAGCCATCTTATTTATTCATTTATTTCTGCAAATCCCTCATTATAATTTTTATATCTCATCAACCTCATTTTACTTTGAGGTTGAGCTTTTCACATTTTATCCTGACAGTCTTAAACTATGAGTTTGATTTGCTCTTTTGTTATCGACCCTTGCTTCCTTGTTTCTTTTTTGCTTCTTAGCTTGAAATTGACTTTCAACATTAGGTCTTTTAAATCTTTGTCCTTTTTTCCATTTCATGACAATCATTTGTAGTTCTATTTTCAGTATCTCTCTTTTTGGTATCTTCCATTTCCTTTTGATTGGATTATTGTACTCCAGACTATATATAGTATGCTGCCAATCCAACCAGTTCTAACATTATATTTATTTATGAAGAGTCTGTGTTGCTTGCTCCATATCTAAATAATGTTTATATCTCAATGCATATAAAGCTAATGAGAAAGTCTGACTTGATTTTTAAAAAAATATTACATAACCTATAAAACATAACAACCGATTGTTCAACATTTGTTCAGGATATTATTTTTTTTTTGTAGGTTTGGTTGGTTTCTCTGTTGCTCCACGGTATTGGCAAATTTGTATGGTGGCAAAAGGACTACTGTAAACAAGTTCTTATTTCTTAACATCTTTCAAGAATTTCTGTGAAAATAATCTTCTGCCCAAACAAAATGTGTTCTACCAGTTATACCCCTCGGTTTGAGTCATTATATACAAGTCCTTAACAATAATGGTAATGCTAGAACAACTGCACTTCAGCCTTAACCTTTCCATGCTCTCTTCAATGTAAGTATCTTAATCCAACCTGCAAAGACACCTGTTTAAAATATGGATCATTTTCTATACTACTTCTTAGATCCATATTTGAAGTGAATTACACAGTTATATAAAAATTATACTTGTTTCCAGAATTAGTTTCTACAATAATGCTATAGGTGTTTTTTTTTTAAAGAGAGGGTTATTTTGCTTAGTAATATTATAGCTTGTTAACATTATAGGACCAAAATAACCTCTGAAAAGTTATTTACTGACCTTTCCTGAAAACCCATGCCTGCATCTATGTCCTACATTCTTCTACTTGTTGCAAAGATAATTTTTAAACCATTTTTAAACAACACTTTGCCTGACTCTGGCAATTATTTGTCAAGCTAATCTATTGTTTTGTGGAAAGCCCCTGAAAATTTATAAGCAAATACTGCTAATCTATTTAAGATTGTATGTGTTTGTCCTTGAAATTCTGCCTTTCATTGGTAACCTACTTAATTATTAATTTTAGCCATCATATTTTTAGAAAAAATGGGTTTTAAGTTGTATTTTATATATGAGTTAACTAAGTCAAATAATATAAGAATTATAAGAATTTATAAGAATTTTGTATCAAGATCATTGCAACTACTTGTAAGGCAATCACCTCAACATTAGAACCTTTCCATTTTTCTTCTACATGTTATTCTCTACATTATTCACAGTGGTTCTTTTGTAATGTTTACATGACAGAATGAAAGAGACTTAATATCCTACAATCTGATTATACCAGCCATTATGCTAATAAATAAGCAACAAGGTTATCAATGATTCAGTGGGAATCCATGGCATATGATATCATTCTGCACTTTCAAATAATTCAGTGATCCCTTATTAGATGAGGGGGGAATGTTTTGGGAAGGAATGTTTTGGGAATAACTTTCTGTGTTGTAGCAGCTAATGTACTTGACAATGCACTATATAAAACGTTATTAGCCAGAAAAGATTCTGCCATAACAGTGCAATTGTGTGCAGTTTTACTCAATATACATCTTTCTTACTTTGGTGGACTTTATTTAGAATTGCAGTTTGAAATTGTCAGCCTTTCGGGTATTTCTGAACTTTATACTACAAAACAGAAAAGGAGGCAAACAAGAAAAAAAAGTGCAGAAGCATCAATTGTGGCACTGTCCTCTAATTTTTGCACAATTAGTTGCCTTTCATTTCCTAATTGTTTCCTAAACCTATTTCCTAGTAGGTTTCATTTCCTAATTGTACCTCATTTTATAAAACTTGAACTTCCCAGAGGAAAAAAAATATATTTTGGAATCTGATGTGCATGGCATTAATATGATTAAGCACAAAAGATAAAAATCAACACATTAAAGAATAGATGCACTCTTTACTGCCAAAAATATCAGCCATTAGAGGTTTCTCCATGATAGCAATGAGTCAGGAGGCACTCCACATATCTCCCTAGAAGTCCCATTATTTTGATGGATTGGACATTTGTCTGGAATGGTGCAGAATCTCCTACTTGAACAGGGGTTGAAGTAGAAGACTTTTGAGGTCCATTCCACCTCTGTTATTCTATGTTCTATGTTCTAGATTTTATTGATTGAATTGTATACATTCTTAACTGGGAACATTTCTTGGTGCATGTGACCTCTGCCAGGTCAAAATATTTTATTTATTCAGTTTCTATAACTGCCTATCTCACTCAATGGCTCTGGGCAGCTTACAATTCAAAACTGTATTTGTCCCTGTAGTCCATTTTTTTGTACTTTGATTGACAGTGGCTACCCAAGGTTTCAGTCAGAAAACATTTTGTCTTTAAAACAAACATGACAATAGGAACTAAGCCAGATTCCTTCTGCGCCCAGTGATTTGTTATATAATTAAATCATGGCACATCTCTCTTCTGTGAATATTTCTAGGGCTACCCTTTAGGAATGAATAAAAGAGATTACTAGTAAATACCCACATCACAAACTTCAGTCTCCCACTATGTAATTTATGCGCTAAACAATAATCTGCTGTGCTGGGTTTTAATTTAGTGTTCGGAGGCTCCAGCATTTTTGCTTTGTAATTAAAATCATCATGACTCAATATAATTCTATTTGTTCATTTATTAAATATCTTTTGTACTGCTTTAATATCAAGTGACTTGTAATAACTTAATGCACAATAAAACAATAATAATACAGATAGTATTAATTATAAAATACTATTTTAATACATATTTAATGTATAAAATATGTTCAATACAGGATATTTAAGACATATTAATGAAATAATTAAAATAATAAAACTAGAGAACTGTAAATCATATTAACTTATTGCAAAATTCACTGTATACCCAATTAACTTTACCCACTCATACCTCACTTCCCAAACACTCTTTGAAAGAATCAGGTCTCCAGTACCTAATTCCAGGGCATGGATCTTAAGTCTAGGGACTCAGCATTTCACAGGGGAGAAGCTCCTATAGAGGACATTCATCTCACTTTGTATCTTATGAGGTGTGAGGACACTTAACAAATAGTTGCTACAGGCACAATTTGCTAGTCTGGTTCTCTTTGAATTAGGCAATATCAGATATAGCCAGATGCCAAGCTATGTAGGATTTTAAACATACAGTAGTACCAACACTTGGAATTGCACCTGGAACTAACCAGCATGCCACTCTTACAGAATTGGTGCTATATGAAAATAGTGAGTTGCCTCAGTTTAGATTGGACACCACATTTGCCATCAACTGCAGCTTCCAAATGTCTTCAAGTACAGTCCCATTTAGGGCATATTATAGTAGTCCACTTGCGAAGTGATGGGGGTGTGATGTCGAGGCACTCAGCCAATAAATATTATGAACCTAAAGAGGAAATCATTTCTGAAACTGAAATGGATGGATCTGCATTAACTGATAAGGCTGGGATAACGTGATCATTCTAACTTTATCCTTAGCCAGTCCTATCTATACATCACAGGCAATTCAAAAATTCCAGATTGAAAAATGGGAGTTTTATACATATACATTTCCTGCACAGAAGGTTCCATTACACTCTAAAGCAATGGTTCTCAACCTTTTTAATGCCGTGACCCCCAACCGGTCGTAAGTCGAGGACTACCCAACCAGTCATAAGTCGAGGACTACCCAACCGGTCGTAAGCTGAGGACTTTCCCTGCCTGGGAGCGCCGCACATGCATGGTGCCGCCCCCTGCGCTGGCCGACAACTGGCAGCACCGTTTGCAGAATGGGACTTTTGGCGGGCTCAGCAGGGCAGAGACAGCCTGGACAATTCTTATTGGCTTTTGAAAGCCAATAGAATTAGATTTTATTCAAGAGAGTCTATTCTATTGGCTTTCAAAAGCCAATAGAATAAAAGGGAGTAGCACAGCTAAGGAAAAGGGGAAAAAATGGCGGACTGCATTGTTTGGCGACCCCCGTGAAATGGTCGTTCGACCCCAAATGGGGTCACGACCCACAGGTTGAGAACCACTGCTCTAAAGTTTCATTCCATTTTATTGACACTGCTTTTCGGGGTGAGTAGCAATGATATCGTCAAAGAGACAGAGGCAATTTTTCTCTTTTGATTGGGATGTTTTTGTTTTCTTTTAAAAGAGCAAAGCAAGTGTACAGCATTACAATTACTGGAAACTTCACATCCACACTCTATCATACTACTCTTCTTTCAAAAAAACACCAGATCAAATAATGGATCATTGCCCACCCCTGCCAATAGTTTCCACTTAAAAAATTTACAAGTAGCAATTTATGTGCTGTAAATGTGCATTGAGTCCCATGTATTTATGGTACATCAGAAAACATCTCTTCTGATGGGCATTCAATGTCTATGTAGATGAAGATACGGAGTCCTGAATCCAGGGAGGGACAGGACAATCCAAATCTAGTCAAGTACATTTCATACCAATTGCCCCCACCCCCCCAAACCATTTTCTAACAGGATAAGATGATTGCCTCTACCTGTATAGTTATAGGCTTGTTTGCATGTTCAAAACAAGATAAGGAAGGCAAAATCAGGTAGGACCCTAAGCAATACATAGAAAAAAGTGTAGTCTTAGATAGGAAGTTTGGGGATGTAGGTTTGGTCCCTTCTTTGTTCTTTTCCCTTCTTCAATGCCCTCGAAAGGTAAAGGTGAGGACGGTAGCTTCGCCGGTTACTTTTGAGCATGCGCGCACCCCTCGGACAGGCTACCTAGTGGAGAGTAAAGAATGTGACCCTTGGGGCTGGGCAAGTCTTAGTCTTAATCCCTCACAGAGCGTGGGGAGGACAGAGTCGCCATTGCGAGAGGGCGAGCCGGCCAAGAACTCGGCGCCTTTAGCAGAGAGGAGGCAAAGCTGCCACCTGCAATTGGTCCGTCCTTTTTCCTGAGGAGGTCAGCATGGCAGAGGCGCGAGGGTCGCTCGAACCGCCAGCTCCGGCCGAGAATAGTGAAGAAGCATTAAAGGAAGGCGCGGGCGGCGAAAATGGAGCGCCGGTGGGCGAAGGAGAAGGCGAGAAGGCGAAGGAGCGCCCCGCCTGCCCCGCAGAGGAGGGCGACCCTCTGAAAGAAGCATCTGAAGAAAAAAACCCGGAGGAAGAAGGCGGGAGCCGCGGGACGACGAGCGTGCCGAGCAGCGGAGAGACGACCCCAACGACCGAGGAGGACGAGGTTCAGGCGACTTTAGCTCAACTTGCAGAGCAAGTTGGATCAGCAGACGGCCCGAGGACAGAAGGAACAACTCGCGCGGAAAGCCCCGAGGAAAAGTCTGAGAGCAACACCTGGGACGAGGCGACTGTCCCAGAGGAGCCTCCGCAGCCGGCGGGAGAGTCGGCCAGGGGCCGAAGGGCGAGCCCAGCCGGCGCAGAAGACGCCTCCGAAGGAGAGGAGCCCGCGGAGGAAAGGAGCGCAGCTGAGCCAATCCCAGGATTGGACGAGCGCGCCGAGGATGAGAGAGAGGAAGATCTGGCGGGAAAAGGCTCCGAAAAAGAGTCTCCTGAAGTTGCTGAGGACGAAGGGCCAGAGGAGGGCGAGGCGGATAGCAAGAGTCCGCTGGAAGAGCAGTGGCGGACCGGAGAGGAAACTCTGAGGGGAGACAGCCCTCCTAGCGAGAGCTCCGTTGAAGAAACTCCGGCGGCAGAGGAGGATCTGGCTGCGGAAGAAGCAGAAGTAAACGAGAAAAGCTCACCAGCGCCAGATGCCAGTACAGGGGAAGTTGGCGCCCAGGACAATCCTGAGGCGAGCGCCGAAGAAGAGGAAGAGGAGCAGGAGGTGCAGTCCGCGGATTCTGGAGCGGTGGAATCTCCGGAAGAGGCTGAGGAACTCAGCAGCCACATACAGCCTGTTGACGGACCCGCCGAAGAGGCTGAAGAAGTAGATGCTCCGGGGTTGAATGGCGTGCAAGGAAGAGAAGAAGAAGCGACTGTAGAAGGGGAGCAGACTGTCCCCCTCGATGCGCCTGAGCAAGAGAAACAGGAATATGACATTTCTCTCTTCGTAAAAGTAAGGGTACTACTTTAGATATAAGCATAGGGGTCGTTAGCGGTGGCAGAATATCGTTCTCGGATCGGTAGCTTCTAGGATCAGAATAATAAAAATGGTGATATTGTAGGTTGTTGCTTTTTAATGAAACTACTAAGCCACAACTTTGGACTAATTAGGTAACTGTAGACTTTGGAATTAGGGAGCCTCTCTTTAGTTAGAATCCCCCCCCCCTTCAAACTGCACTCTGTTTGCTAGTTCTCTAACTTATTCTATTGAGTGGAATCCTGTGTACCTGCACAGAAGTTACAAAGTGATGGCTTCAGTGCTTTAGATATCACATCTAAAGTCATTGCTGGGGATCTAGTTTAGAATCTCCACAGCACTTGGGCAAAAGCATAATCAACTTTAGTAAATTAAATATAAAGGTTAGAAATAGGTGAGAAGTATTGCGTATTTATTTGGATACTGCTCATCTTCTTCCCAGTCCCAGTAAGACTGTGAGAGCTTTCATTGTTGGTTTTGAACTTGGGGGTGGGGGGTGGAGAGTATAGCAAATTTGGGACCAAATTCTATTGCTGAGCTTCAGAGAAATCTAGTTTTAGTTTATTGCTGTTGTTGATAATAGTTTTGTTTTTCTAAAGTGTCACTAGTTATCATTTTGAATCCCCCCCAAATACTTTTAGAAATAAGCTGAGTGGAAAGCATACTCAGAAGCGTACATCAAAATGTTCACTAGAAACAATAGAAAACTTAGAAAAAAATTCTAACAGACATGTATGGGGTATTTATTTTTGTATCATGTCTTTCAATCTGGTATCTTCAAGATATATTCAAAGTAAAATTCAAGTATTGCCAGCCAGCAGTTGGCAGAGAGAGCATCAGATTCTAGAGACTGTGATACAAATCTATATTTTTTTCTTCAACTTGATAGTTTGGGACATACGCTCATGGTAATATGAAAATCTTATTTATTCTTCCATGGAGTATGTAGTTTATTAAATAGAAGAAAAGTGGTGGAAAATATGAGACGCTTTAACCCAAATATTGTCAGATTTATATTGTTGAAGTTATAGTTTATAAATGTGTACATGATTCAAATGGGTAAAATACCATGCATTTCATGTGTTTAATGTGAATATCATTAGGATTTTTTTATCCAGATATGAGAATATTATTTAGAGTCAACCTGCATTACTAAGATATATAAGAACTAACAGTAACAAAGCTTTTTAGTGATTTTCATATTCAATTTTTATTTTAATGTAGCTATTGTATATTCTGGACTGAAGGCAGTCCTCAATGTACGACCACATTTGGGACTGTAATTTCTATCCTAAAGTCTGTGTTTTCACATGACGGGACCCAATTTTACTGCCATTTTTACCATAGTCATTAAGTGAATCATGAAGCTGTTAAGTGAATCCAGTTTCCTCAATTGACTTTCTTTGTTGGAAGCTGGCTGGAAAAGTTGCAAATTGTGATTATATGAGTGCAAGATGTTGCAACCATTGTAAATGTGAGCTGGTTGCCTAATGCCTGAATTGTGATCATGTGACTGTGAAGCTGGAGCAATGGTTGTGACTTCAAGGACAGATCTTCACCTTTTCTTTAGCTTCAAACCATCATTAAATGAACACCTCCTCTCAGGGCACTTTTCTTATAGCGCAGCCTCCCCTTGATATATACCGTAGACACCCCTGACTTGATAGGCTTCCTCAAGGCCCTGAAGTCCTAGATTTTGCCCTGGGCACTGGATCAGGGTGCTAATGGAACTTTGATGCATCCAGTCCGCAGACCGGCAGTTTGACATGCTTGCTTTAAGACAGTGTTTATCAACCTTGGCAATTTTAAGGCATGTGGACTTCAACTCCCAGAATTCCACAGCCAGCACATGCCTTAAAATTGTCAAGGTTGAGAAACACTGCTTTAGGAAGTCACTTTGAAGACTATTTTAGGCATTTATTGAAAAAAATCACTAGGACCTGCTTAATGCTAGCTCAGGGGTGGGCAGTCTGGCTCTTTTATAACTTGTGGACTTCAATTCCCAGAATTCCTGAGCCAGCCATGCTGGGAGTTGGTCCACGAGTCATAAAAGAGCCAAGGTTGGCTACCCCTGAGCTAGACTATGGTTGTGTAGGTCTTATGGAACATCTATCTACATGAAGCTATTAGATGAGGTCATTTGTCAGCAAGGGGTTAAATACCATTAGTATTGCTGATGATAGCTGAACATCTGCCTCTGCCCACCCAAGTAATGCTATCAAGAACACTTCCAGTGTCTGGAAGCTGTGGGGGCTGGATATAACTGAGCCAATGGACATCCTAAGTCTAGATGTCAAACACATCAATTGTATGGTTAACCTTTTGTAAATATTATAAGCCTGTATTAGAAAATGCAAAAATTCCAACACAAAATATGGGGCTTCGTAATGCAGCTTAGGGAAAGCTGGAATTATAAATTCCTTTCATAACCTTCATGTGATTGTGGTATTTTAAGCTCTTTGGGCTGCTTCCTATAGCATTATTTATTTCATTGTTTGTTAGTTAAAATAAAGTATTTTTGCAATTTACATAGACATAACATACCTGGTCATTTATTTAATTGCCTACCCGTGTTTCCCCGAAAATAAGACTGGATCTTTTTTTTTTTTTGTCTCCAAAAGAGGCAACGAAAGCCCCACCCAGCCAGCCCACTTCTTCTGTGGCCGAAAGAGCAGCTTCATTCTGCAGCTGCATTCTGGTCTGCATTTTGTATCAGGCCTTTCCAGAAGGCCTGTGCAGCTAAGTACGAGCTATGGATTGAATCCATAGCTCAGTTCTTGGCTGCAGAGGTCTTGCAGAACCGAGTTATGCATTGAACCCATAGCTCGGTTCTCGGTTGCAGTGACCTTCTGGAAAGGCCTCTGATTGAGAAATGCAGGCCTGGCTGCAGAGGAAGCCTCAGAAGAAGAGGTGGGCCAGCAAGGAGAGGCTTGGCTGCAAGGTAAGTGGATGCGGGGCACATGGAGCAGCTCCACCCCCCCACCCCCACCCTAGCTTGATTTTTAGGTAGGTGCCTCGCCCCCAAACTAGGGCTTATTTTTGAGGTAGGGCTTATATTAGGTCCACCCCCAAAATCAAGCTAGGGTTTATTTTAGGGGTTGGCCTTACTTTCAGGAAAACAGTATTGACATTTTTGAAAATTATACTTGTAAATTGTTAAAAGTTATTTGTTGTATATTCGAAATGGACATTGTAAATACTTACAGATTTAATTATTTGGAATTTATATTGAATTAACATTTAAATTAGAAGTAATTTCCATTAGACAGAGCCACTTGTATTGTAGTTGTTTAGGCATTGGGCACTAGGAGACTGGGAGTTCTTGTCCTGCCTTAGGCATAAAGCCAGATGGATGACCTGGGGCCAGTCATTTGCTAGCTAAGCCCTAGGAAAGAGATAATGGCAAATCACTTCTGAAATCGTTTGCCAAAAACCATGACTTGCCCAGGCAGTCACCAGGAATCAATAATGACTCCAAGGCACCCTCCCCATCAAAAAAGTTTCACTGAAGTTAATAGAGTTTTGATATGATTTGATATGTAGAAATTACCTTTTTCCATTTATGGAAAATGTTACAACTATCATCTTGAGATTATTGGCTTATACAATATGTTTAACCATATGACTTAAAACTTAAAAGTTATTTTCATAGAGGATGATCTTTATCTCCCCTTTTTAGAAAATGCATCCTAGGGAATTTGTTTTAGCTTTGTTGTATCTGAAGACTTGATTCTTAATCACCAATTTGCTTTGTTAAAGTAATCCAAGCTTTGTGACATTATTAAATTGTTTCGCATTATGATGCATTAAAAATTCAGTGTTTTCTCCAGTGTACATCAAGGCAACTACATAGTCTTCTCAAGTATTTCCTCACAGACACACTGAAAATATTTAATTGCAAAATTTAGATGGAAAATGAATGAATTTTATACAAGTTTCCTTAGATGATGTGAAACTACTTAATCAATTGCTAAAAATTAAAATGCTTCTGGTTTTGAGCTAGTACATAGTTTTATAGTAGGAGTTAGCAAACTTTCAGATGGTGGGCATCAATTTATTTTAAAAATGTGATAACCATGATCTGAACATTGAGATCCTGTACGATTTTTGACGTTTATATATTTCTAAAATATTTTTAAAAATATTTTAAAATATTTAATATTTTAAATTAAATATTTCATAGTATTAATATGAAAATAACAATATTTTAAAAATATTGTTATTGTAATTGTGAAGTTCTAGAATACCAAACAGAGGTATTGTAGATACCATAGTAGCCACAGGTATTATGATGCTTATTACTTTTGTAAAAGTTTTGTAAAAGATGCAAGACTCCATTGCCTTGAAATTCTGTCCTGGATGTCTTGATAGAATGTCTGAGAAACCATTTCTTCCCAATGGGACTATCCTGACTCCAGCAGAAGAGGCCTACTTTGGATCCTATCTACCAAAAAATTTCAGCTGTTAGGATCCTGCTGTGGCCCTGCCTTTTGGAATATTCTTCTGCCGGAGATGAGGTTGGCCCTCACACTCCTTGTCTTATGGAGGGGCCTTAGAACCTGGCTCTTCTGACTGGCCTGGGGCCTTAATAGGGGTGCTCTATGTCGGAGCTGACTGAGGTAGTAAATAGAGGATCCCCTCTCCCATGTCACTTATTCTCTTGGTTTTTAATCTTTATTTAATTTTACTTAATGTTTAACCTTTTTATATTATCACTACAACAGTGAGATGGGTGGCATATACATTTAACAAACGAACAAACAAATAAACAAGCAGGGACAAGTATTTGGGAGAAATGTGGATCTTCTTTGTATCCACTCTGGGAAAAATGATTTCCCATAATTTAATTTTGTGACGGAGACATAATATCAAGATCACATGAAGTATTAGTGCTGCTATATACTGCCTTGGTAGGACCACATTTGAAATACTGTTTCTAGCTCTGATCACCATGTTACAAAAAAAATGTTAAGATT